GGGGGGGGGGGGGGGGGGGGAATCCGAGTATACATGCTGGTTGCGTTCTGCATGGTGCTTACATTCACTTCCAGTCATTGCTGGATTTAATGGTGAAAAGGATATTGTAGAAATCTCAATCATTTGGTAGCGGTCAATAAGCTAAATCACTATTATTGATGAAACACCTTTTTAGTATGAAATATTCTCCGTACACAACAAATACGAAAGTACTACAAATATGAGAGACCAAAAGGCTTAGAATTCAGCCCAGCTGCATGTAGGAGGAAAAACTAGGCATCTAAATGCCACTTCATGCGACGCATCCTTCATTTACACTTCATATGACGTATTTACTTTTAGCAGCTCTGTCAAGCTTCTTTGCATCCTCCTGAAGATATCAAAAAGGAAACAAAGTTAGCCCAACTGGAGATGAAGTATCACACAAAAAGCATAAACACACAGATGGTTCTACTCACATGAAATATAAAGCCAATTGAATCATTGTAATCAAGAAACTCCTTCCACTGTTTTCCAATGCTCACCTGCCAGAAGAATAATTTAGACATCCATCAATTTGCTAGAAGAATTTGAGAGACATGATTTAGGGGACTTTTGGAAAGCTTACAAGCTCTTTTTAAAAAGCTTTCATGGAAAAACTTATCAAAATATTTTATTTTCAGAAAGTTTCACATTCAAACTTGTTAACAAGTTTTCATTTGATAAGAGCTTGTCTAATAAATAATTAAGTTCATCTCCCAAACATGTCTTCAGGGCAAAAGTACACCAAAGATACAGTCTCAGGCACCAAAGACCCTTTGTATAACATATCACGGAGTTTTGTATTATTTTCATCATTCAGTGCAACTACAGAAAGTTCGGAAAATTCCAGAGCAAATTAGATGAGGTATGGCTAGTACACATTCCTCAATATTCATGACAGAACATAGAGTCTGAGTTGGATACAAGTTAGAAGTGCTTTTAAAAGTTTCTCTATTGAAAATAAAGACCTTTTTCTAATAGAGAAACTGCAAAAAACTACATAAATAAATGAAAAAGAATGTAACCTGAGCAGCTTCATTGGAAGCATTCTTAGTCCAAAGAGCAATTTTATCCTGCCTATTTCTGACATTCACAACGGCTCCGCAAATTTCATCTCCGTGATCAAACTGTTCTCCAATCATCGCCAACAACTTGAAGCAACAAAAACAAAAACATCACCACCATTACTTGTCTGATAATGAATAAAGAATCTAACTCATGCACACCTAGTGTAAAATTTTCTTTCACAGAAACATCCGTGACAGAGTTTGACCATTTTCTCACATCATTCATGTTCAGCAATAGATTTTAACTATCATGCAACGTCAGAAACTCGTAAACATTTTTACAATATCAAGCAATCAGAAATCCTTCTATATCATCCCACTCAGACATTTAAAGTACTTGTTACAAAAAGTAACAAACTAATCATACATGACAATTAGTGACAATTTCATTGCATTCTAACAAAATTCATAAATTAAACCCCAAAAAGAAATGACAAGTATTGCATCATGAGAAGCTAATTTAAAACGATACCGTATACAACCAACTGGTGTCAGATTTCCCCCTTTGGAAGGTCATAGTCCATTTGCCACCATTAGCACAAATAGGGTCCTCCCACTTTGGCTCAATCTTATGCTTGAAGCAATGGAAGTCCGCACCCCCACCCAACTTACTAGGGTGGTGAATGTTATTATAAATGCTGAAAATTTGAAAACAAAAACAACGGCAAATTCAGTGAAGAGTTTCCAAGAACCGAGAAAGAAGCAATTAGGGTGGGACCCAGAAAGGGGAAAATTGGGGGAAAAGTCAAGGGAAGAGGAAAGATCGAAGCTTGACCTCCAAAACTCCTCGACGGATGCGAAAGTGTAGATGGGTCGCATGGAGCTTCCCCATGCGGCTTGTTTGGACTTGGCGGAAGGGTTGTCGAACCAGAAGGTCCACGAATTCTCCAGAGGGTGGGGGTTGCGGAGGAGGGCGGACGGAGGCTTCGAATTGGCGGCGGCGCCGTCGTCGTCACCGTCGAGGATCTCTCCCTCCTCGAGATCGTCGTCGTCGTCGTTGGCCACCCTGCTAGGGTTTTGCTCCTCTGTTTGGGTTGGTTTTTGGGTTTCTTCGACGACCATTTTTATCTCTCTCTTCCGCACACTTTTTCTCTTTCTTTCGTTCGTTCTCCGTTCTGTGAGATGCGTTGGGGGATTTACTCATTTTCACTGATTTCGAGTTTTTAATCGCAAAGAAGAAGAGTCGGGTCAGGCACTCATGGGCTGGGCTGGAACAAGTCTTGGGTTTCAGGGCCCATCTATGTCGGTTATCAATTGGGTGACACCTTAGTAAATCTAGTGTGTTATGGAGGCAACATATTCATATCTACACGTGATTTTTAAAAGTGTCTATTTTTTAAGTTTGCATACATGAAAGAACATTTGTTAGAAAAAATTAATTTTTTTAAATAGATCTTATTTTTTGAAAGATTAATCATTGACTCTCATTCAAAAGATATATCATATACAGACACTGAAGAAATAAATTGTGAGACACCTTATTAACTAATTATAATATGATTCTTTTAAGACTGAACCATCTCTCAACTATTATTTTTTATCCTAAATAATTTTTTAAATAATGAAATTATATAAATAATCTTTAAAATACTGAAAATTCATCAATTAACCAATTTTAAGTAGTCTAGAGTGAAGAATTTTTCTATACTCTAAAAGGACTATAACACGATTTCTAATACTTTAGGGCTACTTATATAATTTCATTACTTAAAGTTGGAATCGATGGTTTAATCGTTTTAGTCATTTGAAAGTTATTTTACAGGGATAATCATGCTTCATTTTGCATCTACTTTCAAGATAAACATAAGCAAAACAGACTTCATGGTTATACTACAACCAATCAGAAACAATCATCACATTTGGCTAAAAATAATTCTGCAATCACAGTGACATCAACACATGAAATAAGTGTTGAAGCTTTCAAGAGATTTTACTTACTAGTTATTATCGGTACAATATAGGTCAAGCTTTACAATAAAAAATAAAAATTGAATTGTTTGTTAATATTAGTTGATTATACAATGATAGGCTTTCCAAACCTTTTTTCTCTGCTAGATCCATCCCCTGCCTGTGTTATTTTTTTGGAAGTACAGTTACTTTATCAGTTTGTAATTTTCAAATTTTCTGGGGTGGGTATAATAACCTGACCCAGCCTCAACTGACCTGAAAAGTCAAAGTTTCCATCTGTAAAAAGTTTAAAACTTCCACACCTTAAAATGACGCTTGGTTTACATCCGATTATAAATGGATAACCATAAAGCTGCTGCTGCAGCAGGAGGCACATTTTGCCAGAAAATGTAACATACAGCAAATATTATTAGTAAAATGCATCCAAAGATGATTATTATACAAAATTTTTCAACTGCGTCTTAGTTTTAAGAGCTTGATTAAAGTACACTTAGACTCCGGGTATTGGATACTGAGTAGTAAGAGCTTCAACTTTCCTACGCAACTCTGAAACCTTTTCTCCCAAAGGAAATTCAGGAGATGCTACAAACTTCAAAAAATCTTGGAGCTTCGTTCCCGAGACCAAACTTTTGGCTTCAAGACTTATTTGCACCCCCTCATGAATTAAGTCTGCAATTAATGTAAAATCTTTTTCACCAAGTCCTCTGGTTGTCATTGCAGGTGCTCCAATGCGAATGCCTCCAGGAACTAGGGCACTCTTGTCACCTTTTATAATAAGCACATGTGAGTAATAATAGGACATAAATATGACGGAGAATATGCATAAATGTCAAACTGATACAAGCACCAAAGCAATACGAGAGTCTCACCAGGCACTGAATTTTTGTTGAGTGTAATGGAAGCCATGTCAAGAATTTTCTCCACCCGAGCACCATCAATACCCTAAAGAATGTGATGATAATTAATATCAAACAAAGCCAAGGTACTAAAAAAGGATCATACATCAACATGCAAAATCATGCCTTTTCACATTGAATAACATTGCAATGAAAGATTATGAGAAATACACTATTTCTACAATAGACAGGGGAGGGGAAAAAAAGACGGAAGGGAACTGAGTATTTTAATGTGACAAGCATACTCGAGAAAAAAATAGAGCAAGAAGCTTACAGATGGCCTTAGATCAACAAGAACAAGATGATTGTCACTACCACCAGAAACCAGTTTATGTCCATGCTCAATTAACCGCTTAGCAAGAGCTCTGCAGTTAGCAACTACCTACAGGATGGTAGTTTTAAGTGTTAGTAAGTGCATTATGCCCAACTCTAACCAATGATGAAAAGGGATATTTGCGTACCTGATTTTGGTAATTTTTAAATTCTGGAGACTGGGCATACTTCAAGCAAACTGCTAGTCCTCCAATTGTGTGGTTATGAGGACCCCCCTGAATAATTCTAACACTATCAAAATCGCAAACAAGGAATGTAAAGAAGACAAATGCATATCAACTGCACACATACACCTCAATTTGAACAGTTACAGGAGAATTAATAAGAGGACATTCCTAATTTACCTGTAGACCGGGAAAAACAGCATTGTTAATGGCAGACTCCAAATCAACCCCATGCACAGAATCTTTCTTGAAGAATATCATGCCACCTCTTGGACCTCTTAAAGACTGGAAGAAAATATCTAACAATTAAGTCACAGGTGTGTCAAGTATAACAAAGAAGTATTTACTTCAGAGTTTCAACTTTCAAGTAAACATAGCACTAAGTACAAAAATAAATGCCAATTCTTTTCTCTTTCATTTCAAATGCAGAAGTACAAAGTGTGGCGGAATAAATATAAAGTCAAACCTTGTGGGTAGTGGTTGTCACAATATCACAATACTCAAAGGGATTAGCGAGTACAGATGCAGCAACAAGCCCACTTATATGAGCCATATCCATCATAAGAAAAGCACCTACTTCATCTGCAATCTTCCCGTGCATATAAGATGTAATTAGGTTTTTGCAAAGAAGAAAATCATATAATGTAGAGGCAATCATGAGCAATATATATGTCCAGAAAACACACGAGTGAAAAACATACTTTTCTCATGCGAGGGTAGTCAATGTCCCGAGGATAAGCACTAGCACCAGCAATAATGAGTTTTGGTCGGAAGAGATTAGCAGTTCTCTCCAGCATATCATAATCAATAAGACCTGTTGTGATTCCAACGTGGGTTAAAAAATAAGTAATCCAATAAAGGAGCCAACATAATTGCAACAATTTTAATGAGAAAACAAAAGCACCTGTTGATTCATCAAGCCGATAAGGCATAGATTCAAAATAAATTGACGTGGCTGATACACGTCTTTTAGGTGTCATGAAGCCATGAGACAAATGTCCTCCATGAGGCAAGTCCAAACCCTGGTAGCATACCATTACACATTACAACAATTGCTAATATGCTGCCAACTAGAATAGTCAAAATCAACTGTCGGAAAATAGTTTACCATTATTCGATCATGTGGTTTAAGAATTGCTGTGTATACTGCAAAATTAGCCGGGGAACCAGATAATGGTTGAACATTAACGCCCCACTTATTTGCATCTACATGAAATGCAGCCAGTGCCCTTTGTTGACATAGGGTTTCAAGCTCATCAATGAACTCATTGCCACCATAGTACCTTGCAGAGGTGGAAAGGAAAGATGCATTCAGTAAAATTCTCATTTACTTTTATGTAAAAAAAGAGAAAATTTTAGATGCTGTTTATTTTCTTCATACCTTTTTTTCTAATATTATGCTTTGTAGCTTGTGAAGGGCTTTACTTTTGAAACCCAGTGTAATTTACAAGTTATAGTTAGCAATACCATGATCATTATTGTATAGTGCCCGTTCCAGGTTTCCCTTAACAGCATTAAACATTGATAATATTTAAGAAAGTACGGATTCCTACATGATATGGATATGACAAAAAAATTACTAAAAAAATAATTATTAGTTTTCACTAATAAAAACTTTAAATATATTCTTAGTATTCAATATTCATTTTAAACTTCATATAAACTGTTTTATGAAATTTTAATTCTTTGAAAATGAATAAATCAAACACATTTTCAATATTCTCATTTTCCAAAAACAAAATTAAAATATCAGAACAAAGATTTTCTAAATCTTGAAAATATGAAAATGAAAACAATCTCTTGAAAATGGAAATAGAAAACATTTTCTTAACCCAAATAGGCCCATACCTTTTACCCGGTAATCCTTCAGAATACTTGTTTGTGAGGCATGAACCAACAGCTTCCATCACTGCTCTAGATGTAAAATTCTCAGAAGCAATAAGCTCAAGACTTTTAAACTGTCGGTCTTTTTCCTTGTCAACAATTGAACGAACCTCAGGATCAGCTTCACTCAAGCCATAGTCCAGGAAGCTACTCCCATCACCTAGTATTTGCAATTGCATGTGATTCCACGTACAGAAAAGATCATCCTTAGTCATAAACTCAAATAACTATATACTGAAACTGAGTAAGGATACTGACAACCAAAATGGAGAAAATAATATAGAAACAAACATTCCAAACTCCAAAGCTACTTTACTATTGGAAAAGAGATTTGCTAAACTATACATAAGTCAAATACATACACAGTTGTTGGCATAAGCATTGTCATGCATATATTACTTGATGTTTTTCACATCAAACTGCGTATCATTTTTAAAACACTGTCACATATCCACAATAAACACAGAAGCAATAACAGAAAATATAGAAATTCAAACACTCAAAGATAAAAATAAAAATAAAAAACAAACAAACAAACAAACAAACAAAAGGGATCTATCCAGTAGGGTAGCACCCTTAATCTTTCGAAAGGGGGAAAAACACTAGCGTTTAGCACAAGACAAATTTCAAACAGATGGTAGATTACAGTTACCTCCAATTTTAGGCACAGAGAAAGACAGAGATGATGGCTTCCCAGTGACCAAACTTCCTTCAACATGAGATGCTTTGCATGACTTCATGTTACAGAACTTCACTTGAGGTAAAAACCCGTTATTTCCACACCCTTTTGGAGGGAAATCCATCCCTTTGGTCCAAACAGATTGTTGCAAAGAACCCATCATTGTGTAAGTTTGCATCTTTCTCTTCCGAACTTATCTCTTTCATATAAAAATAAAAGTGACAGCTTGTTAGATGCTATAAAAGTTACAGTGAAAAAGTAATTGAGATAACACATCAAAACATGGATAGAGATGTTTTGTTGAAAGTGGATTGAACAGAAATTGGCACGGTACCAAATAAAGCTGAAATCAAAACCAATCAGGTAGAGTGAGAGGCGGAACTACTACACGGTGGCTGAGGGCAATTAGGGTTTTAAGAAATTCAAAGCTTTTAATTTTAGGAACAAGAATTTCAAACAACAGAAGATTAAGAATTGAGACACGAGAAAGAAAGACAGTTTTTACGGATGAGATGGAATCTTTTTTATAACCTATTGCTAGAGGGACAAGGATAGGCTAGGTTAATGTTTATTTTATAAAATTAAAATTTGAATTATTATCAATTCTAAATTTTTTTAATATGAATTTGATCCGACTTTTTGAATCCAGTCTATTAAACCTATTTTACGAAGTGCCTCTATTAAAAATAAAATAAAAATTAAATAATAAAAATATATTGATCTAATTGGTATTATGATTAACCTATTAGTTTTAAGTTCTTAAATTTGATTAAAAAATAATTTTAAAATAAAAGAGTATAATGAGAAGAAAAAATGGAGACCAGGTGATTACTGAAAAAGGTATCCTTTTTATATAAAAAAAAAAGGTATCCTCTTTATATAAAAAAAAATAGTATCAATAAATTAGTATAGATTATAAATTATTTATCATAAATTTCAAATATATTTTATATGTTAAAAATATTTATTTATATAAATTTTAAATATAATTTATTCAAATTTTATATATATACTTTTTAAATATAATTTTTGCTCATTTATTAAACATTTAACCTACTTTATAGTCACTAGAAGGGTAGAGGCACTTCGTGTCTCTAATAGTTATTCTCTAATGAAAATTTAGAAAGTTGTGTATAATTATTTAAAGAAAATTTAAGATTTTTTTTATATCTGGGATATAATGGTCCATTAAAAAATAGAGGCCAAAAAGCGGTTACATTTCCTATATCCCCTTTATAATAGTTATTATATATTATATATAGAAGATTATAGATTATAGATTATAGATTATAGATTTGAATAATCTTTTCTTATTTAAAGGTGAATTTTACACTTCTTAAGTACAACTGTTTGTTTATATTCTTTTTATGTTAAACAAGAAACTGCAAAGTGAAATTTACAAATAAAAATAAAACCAATTACAAACATGAACATCTAAACAAGATTCCTAACAATCCTATAAGAGTGCCAACTCTTTTTCGCAATTGAGATCCATAATGAGTTATTTCTTCTATGCTGTCTTAATCTTGGTGTTACAATATAAATAATTTAAATGAACAACTAATCTCACTTGTTTTTAAGTTTTTATAAGTGCACTTAATCTGTTGATCAATTTTACAACTTCAAATGCGGGAAAAAAAAAAGTGCCAATATAGGAGAACTGTGCAGTTGAATTTAAATGAATATAAATTGAAAAACTAAAAGGACCCTGGCTCACATGCACAGGATTTGGTTCACACAAGCAAGGATCAATTTAATTTCCTAAAATCCCATCAATCTCAAATCCTCAAAACAAATTGTTCTTTGTAAATTCCAACTGTCATAAAAATGTTCAGAAGAAAATCCCAAAAAGTGCAAGTCTCTCCCTTCACCCAAACAAGAAAAAATTCCTCAAAGGAAAAAATTAATTATATAATTGAAAAATTCAAACTTTTTTCTCCCCTTGTTTTCACAAATAACAATTGAAATCTTACATTCACAAATAACAATTCTCCCCTACCCCTTCCCTCTTCTACTTTTTCCTACCCCACCCCCCAAACAGAATTCCTCAAAGAAAAAAGTCATTATTATATAATAATTGACAAATTCAACCCACCCTCCCCCTGTTTTCACAAATCAAAATGGAAACACTAAATTTACAAATCACAATTCCCCCCGGTCCCTCTTCTACTTTTCCCTTTACCCAGACAAGAGAAAAGTTCCTCAGAGCCAAAAATAATTAAATATATAACTGAAAAATTCAAACTTTTTCCCTCCCCGTTTTCTTTCCCCGGACTAGAACTCAGAACAGTGTGAGAAAAACACTGATGGAATTGGAAAGTAGCCACACACACAAGTGTTAGTAAAGAAACATTTTTTTACGAAAACCCATAAAAAAATTGTTACGAATGTTAGTGGGACAGTCAAGAAACTTCAAAATCACAAAAGAGTTGGAATGGAATGAGCGAGAATCCAAAAGGGGATTGTAGAAGCAGTGAAAAAGAAGGGCAAAATGGCAATAAGCATCATAATCCAGAGAGAGAACCTGGGAGGGTGTTGAAGAAGAACAGAGTGAGCGATTGGAAACAAATAATGGACGTGACGGTGTGAACGCGTGTATATAATCAACTCAGATAAACTGTCGGGTGCGATCGGTGTTTGATTCTCAGTTGAAGCTTTTCAAACTTCAAACTTCAAACTAGGGTTCTTTCTTATTTCTTATTGTTTATATTTAATATTTAATATTTTATATTTTATATTTTATATACAATTTAATGTCAATTATAATGATTGTTAAATAAATTAGAATATCATTAAATAAATAAACCAACCCATATATAAATCACAAACTTGCTCATGAGTGTTTTTAAACTTTTTTACGTGAGAATTTTTAAAAAAAACTAATTTTACATTTAATTTATTTTTTATTTATCATACTTATTTATACTAATAAGATTGAAGTACTTTATATCTCTATTAAAAATAAAATAAAAATAAAAATTAATTAATAAATATATGTTGATCTAATGTTATAATTAATCAATTAATTTTAATGTTTTGATTTTGATAAAAATATTATTTTTTTAATTTTTTAAAATAAAAAAATATAATAATTAATATGTAAAAATTAAAGTAATTATTAAAAAGAGTATTTTTTTTTATTTATATATTAGTATAAATATTATAGATTATAATGCATATTATTAGTCCTGATCTAAGAAGGGAAAAAAAAACAAAAAAGCAGTTTCTCAACACGAGGAGAAAAAAAAAAGTAGGTATAAATATGATTAGTGCTGATTTAATTATTACAGGAGGAAAAACATAAACAGTTTCTCAAAAAGGAAAAAGAAATTAGAGAAGTTATAGCTGTAGTTGTTTTCTCCCTGGTGGAGTGAGGCTTGAGGAGATAAGGGGGAAAGAAGAGTTTCACGTGTCACGTTTTGAAGGTTAGAAAAATCCAAATGAAATCTGCAGAAATAGGAAGACATCCACTTCCACATATCATATCATCATTTCCTATCTCCACACCACACCACACCACACCGCAACCGCTTTCTCTTTCACATTCACATGTCCCTCACACATAATAAATAAACACATGGCTACCGCCACGCTCCACAAGTGCCTCACTGCAACGAAATGCAGCAAAGTCTCTTCCAGGGGCCAACAACACTCCATCTGCTTCCTCCACTACCACCATGTAACGCATTCTCCTCTACACAAACCGCGATGCGACCCTTTTTAGTTGAACCACTAATGCCATGTTTGTGTCTCGTTTTTGCTGCTCAGGGACCCGTGTGTCAGGGGTGCTACCTCTCCATGAACGGTTGCAGAGAGGAACAGCGCCGATATTCACGGGCGAGGAAGCACCCTGTTGGGACCGTCGAGACCAGAACCTTGGAGCCTGTCGCGTCACCTGCGATGGCCATGTACAGCCTCAACATGGCGGTTTCCGAGATGAAATCCGAGGCTCCGTTTGGCACCTCGTCGGGGATTGTGAGGGTGCAGGTGCCGATTGAAGAGCAGGTTGAAGCCATTGATTGGCTTCATTCGCAGAACCACGTTCTGCTTCCTCGCTGCTACTTCTTTGGTAGGGAAAAACAGAAACAGAGTGCTTGCTGCATCGGTGAGAAGTTGGTGAGCGTTGCTGGTGTGGGTTCTGCTGTTTTCTTTTCACAGCCACACGCCTTTTCCTATTGGGATTGGATATCTATACGCAGGTAATTCATGCATTTTGGCTCCTTGCAAGAATTTGTCATTTTGAAGATATGGTAGAATAATATCATGCTTAAAAATTATTCAATGGATTTTTTTTTATTAGAATGTATTGGAAGATAGTATGAGAGTGTATTAATAAATGGGATTGGAGAAAGTAATGGTTTTGTTCTCCACTTTTTAACGGATCATTTTTATTTTTTTATATCATATTTAAATTACTATCTATAATATTCTAATATCTTCTCTGTTCGTAATTATTAGAGATAGGAATATAGGAAGTGGCTTGAGCCCTCTGTAATTTCTAATATGGGTATGAAAAATCATTTGTCCGGAAATGTCTAACCCGTGGATAAATCTAAGTATATGGACAGATTAGTTCCATTTAGTTAAAAAAAAATATGAGATGTATTCGACGGTTGACAGTTGACACCAGTTAACTTTGCATTTTTAAGAAATTCTTATGACATATACTAACCACTCCTAAGGTCACTTGTTTAAAAAGGAGAAGAAAGTGATATATTTTATATTAAAAAAAGTATTTTATTATAATTTGTTAGGATACAAACAAGTCTTACATCGATAAAATAAGACAAGAAATAACAACTTATATAACACAAACATACTTCAATGATTAGATGCGGTAACAACCCTCATAACTCATAACATATAATGTAATATATAATGATAGATTCTCCTGTATGAAAGGCTAGGCCCCTTGTTTGAGAGGGAGGATTGTTGGGATAACCTCATAAAATATTCCCTCAGACAAATACCATAAAATAATCCCATCATAATGACATAATATGGGTTTCTGGAACCTGTGTTCATACTCCTTAGTCCTTAGTCCTTAGTCCTCGTGAATAGCCATTTGTTGAAATTAGGAACTGTTGATTAGTGTAGTTGAAGTTTGGACAATCAAACTTTTAATTAGAAAATAATATCTCAAAGAAAGGGGAGAGGAAGTGTTATCTCCATGTTTTCATTCATTAAAATTAAAATGGGTAAAAATATCAACATGTTATGTTAGTGTCAGTAATATTTAACTCGGTCTCCTTAAGCATGGTTTCAGATTTAAATCTTATAGAAAAAACATGATTGGGAGGAGAGACTCATTAAAGTTGGTCAGTAAGGAGGAGATTAGTCATGAGCCAAACATGGTTGAAAAAATTGGACAAATAAATGGTGCACAAGATTTGCACATTACTGTAATGAACATTACTATGCATTTATGAAGTTTGAACATTACTGTAATGCAAATTGGACAAGTTGCTCCTACAAGTAATTGGTAATAAATAGTCAAGTCTTGTGTTTTGTTGGCTTAAGGACCGATACAATAACTAGGAGTGGAAATTCACTAAACATTTTTTCAGGGATTTGTAGCTTGACCTTAAACAGGCTTGACCTGCCATCATAATTAAAAGGATTACATTTAGGTTTTTTTAAAAAGTCTTTTTAATCAAAAAGATTAGGCTTTAAATTTTTAAAACAAATTTAGTAGGTTTAATAGACTGACATACTTAAAATATAAAATAATGTATACCATATATTAACTTATAATTAATATTTATGTTTAACATATATTTATTACTAATATATTTAATAATTAGACCTTTTAGCTTAAACCTATTGATCTTCTTGAGCCTATTTGGATACAAGTTAGAAGTGTTTTGTGAGCTTCTCTACTAAAAATAAAAAGTATGTTTCAGTAGAGAAATTTAAAAAAATGCTTCTAAGATTGTATCCAAACATACTCTTAGAACATCACAAATGCTTTTCACATAAGAAACTTGATACATGTCACCTTAATTTTAAGTAACTCATTTAATTTTTATTTCAATCCAGTTTGCAAATTCCTATAAAAAAAAATTGCTTAAGTCGCAAATATACTTTCTTTCTATTCAATATCTTATATTCTTTCTCCAACATGTACACACACAAATATTATGCAACTTATAAGAAATGGTTGCTTATATAAGCAACTCTCTTCAATTTTAAGCAACTCAAAATCACATTTGACATCTCAAAATAATATTTTATTGTTATTTATAAGCTTTGTATAAATCAGATTAGGTAAATTTCTTATGGTCATTTTCTTGTTAAATTATTATATTAAATACTGTGCATAACTTATGTGATATATTCCACTCTATTTTTTTTCTTTCTTTTTTATCACGATGATTCTGTATTTTACTATTCAGTACGATTTATGATTCACAATTCAAAAAATTTCCTAATCTGCGGTGCTACTGTACAAAATTTATTCCATCAACTGTGATGTTTAGGATTTAAAATCCTTTTATAATTTTCTTTTAGATTTTGATTTTCGAAAAACATTTGACTTTCAAGGTTTCTTTCTGAGAGATGCCCTTTAATCCGTGCTTATGGAGCTATTCGTTTCAATGCAAAAGCTAAGGTGTCATCAGAGTGGCTGGCTTTTGGTTCTTTCTACTTCATGATTCCTCAGGTGCATTCGTTGTTTTCTTTCCAAAAACTAATTTGCTATTCCATGTTTGTTTTAGTATTTATAGCATCAGCAGCTAGAGATACCAAGCCAAAATAAATGACAGGTTGAGTTCAATGAGCTTGAAGGAGGATCAATGCTTACCATTACTGTTGCTTGGGATAATGATCTTTCTTGGTCATGGGAAAATGCAATCAATGCACTCCAAGAAACACTTGGCAAAGTGAGTGCTAATAAATGTTTTATAAGATATCAAGCAGAATATTTTGTTCAAAGCACCAACATCTTTGTAGTGCAGGTTTCTTCTTCCATTGTGAAGTTTCCAAAACAAACTCCTCCAACATTAATTTTAAGTAGCCAAAACATTCCTAATAAAGTAGATTGGGATATCGCAGTTAATGGGGCTCTGCAGATGATAGAGCGAAATGATTCCTTGCTAACCAAGGTAACCTATATCTTATGCACATTACTTCTGTCAATTTTTTTTGTACCATAACTGTGCTTCAAGAATCCATTTGAAATCTCATTATCTTAAGCCATCTTGTAAATTAAGGTTGTGCTAGCTCGTAGCACTAGAGTAGTGCCAACTGTTGATATTGATCCTCTTGCATGGTTGTCTTGCTTAAAGGTAATGGACTCTTCTTTTCTCTTTTGTCTCCTGAAAATTTAACCATTTTGTCTTCATAATATGGAGTAGCAAATTTTCTTATGTCTCCATCAAAACTATCACAGGTGGAAGGTGACAATGCTTACCAGTTTTTACTCCAGCCACCAAATGCACCAACATTCATTGGAAACACAGTAAGTGTGCACTAGGATGGTTTTATATATATTCTTACCAATATATCATTATCTGATTTTTCATGATGCTGCACTGAACAATCCTCCAAATGCACACTAGAATGAATTTCAAATAAAAAAATAAGTAATTTTCTAATTAGTAACTATGATTTATAGATACAGCCATACAGGTTTGTAGCTTAATTTTGTTTACTTAACAAGTCATTAGGTGGAAAAACTTTTCAAGAACTATTTACTACTGATTTGAATCAGCAATGATACATTTTTGTCCTTTGTTTCCATTTTAATTTTTATGAACTTGATGAATAGCCAGAGCAACTATTTCACAGAAAATCACTCTGCATTACTAGTGAGGCTTTGGCTGGAACCCGTGCTAGAGGAGCATCACAAACACTAGATCGTCAAATTGAACTTGACTTACTTACCAGGTATAGCTTGTTACTTAGATCTTTGATCAAATATGTTTCTTTAGACTTACTTCCTTGATGCTTGTCATTTCTACTGTTTCCATTTATATCAAGCTCCTCAATTTTTGCTGTTTAAGTTTCTGTCATATCTTTACAGTCCAAAGGATGACATTGAATTTACTATAGTGAGAGATACCATAAGAAGAAAATTAGAGGTAAATTTATTCTTGTAACTTTAATTATTAGAATGGATAGCTTATCTGTTAGAAGATACTTCCCTTTGCATATTTGATCTTGTTTCTAAATGAATATTTCCTTTAGCCCTTTGATATTCATTGATCAATGAGATCAAGAAACGGGAGGGAGATTTTGCTGGTAAGATGTGAACTTTTAGATATCTGTTAGTAAAATGGTTATTGCTTGTAAGATATGAACTTTTAGAATGTGGTGTTAGTATCTTCAGCGACATGTTGTCAATGTAAAGAACCTCACAATAGAACAAAGGTTTGATAAATTGTATTAGTTTTTCAAATTAAAACATTGAAGCTAAGTTGTCCTCCATTTGAACAAGCAATATAGATTGGAATCTGAATTGTATGTTGCCACACTCACATATGTTGTTTCATTTTGCATATTACTTTTGCATCTCCATTTTATCATGAGGATAAACCTTTTATTTGCCCATGTTTTCTACCAGGCAGTATGTGAAAAGGTTGTAATCAAGCCAGAGAAAATGATAAGGAAACTCCCCAGGATTCAACATTTATTTGCTCAATTATCAGGCAGGTTAAGAAGCGAAGAAGATGAGGTAAACATGATATAATTTCGGTATCAAATACTTGAGTTTCACTGGAAATTCTTTGAGGATATAACTTCTAGTTCTTTACAAATAAAATGATTTAATAAATACTCGCCATATAATTAGGTTGTTCATCTTTTCTTTTCCTTTTTTATTTTAGTTTGAAATTTTATCATCTCTTCACCCAAGTCCAGCAGTTTGCGGGTTTCCAACAAAAGAGGCACAACTTTTAATTGCAGAAACAGGTACATCCATTTTCCATTCCTGTTGTTTCTACCCAATCAAATATTTTCTTATCTGTTGTTCATCAAAGGACTTTTAGCCTTTGCATTTAGATTTTTCTTTTGGAAACAAAGGATGTCACATAACTTGTAATAAATCATATTGTTTGTTTGGATGTAGAAACTCTGAGGAGCATAGCTTGCATTAAGGCATAAAAGTCCTTGCAAGTACTGAAAGTTTAGGGGAATTGGAATATGTTATTTGGGCATAGAGTGATGATAACGGAAAAGAGAATTACTCGAAAGGAAATGGGCTGATATGCGTGTATGAGAGGTGTTACAATATTGTGGAGAACTCTTTGGATTTTGCTGTAATTTAACCATTTTAGAACATTGATATGGTAAAAAACTAAATCAATTTACAACACACTGGTAATAAAAAAAAGTTAAACTATCTGTTTTGATGTTTCAATTTTGTTTACAACACAAAGTTATGACTCTTATTCATTTAGGAAAAAAATTTACTTACTTTTGAAGACAATGTGCAGAAGTATTTGATCGAGGGATGTATGCTGGACCCGTTGGTTGGTTTGGAGGAGGAGAGAGTGAGTTCGCTGTTGGCATCAGATCAGCATTGGTGGAAAAGGTTAGTTCTATAATCGGGGTCTTTTAAATGACACACACAGTTGCATAGGTTGAGATTTTCTGAAGATTTTGATAATATGATTCTTGTTTCTAGCATCTGATTTAAATCAACCTGGGGAGGGGGGTTGATAGGTAACATTGTTTAAGTAGCAATGTAGCAGAAAAATACATTTAATTTAGTCTATATATCCCTGTATTAATATTAGTATGCATCTTGGGTACAATAGAATATCACTTTCAGAGCAAGTTCTTTCCCTTAAGATTCAGGAGCAGTTTGCACAAATGAAGAGAATTTTTTTTTTCTTCTCTTTTGTTGAAATTGATATGCTAGTTTTGAACCCTTTTGATCCTATGGTAAAATTATGGAAAAGAACTCTATATCCTATGAAATATTCCGATGAATTCTAGAAATCTCATCAATAGTATCAACAGACACATTTGAATCTTTTAAAGTGACCACATGCAAGTGTTTATATACTGTTTTTACCATCAATCTTAACATTGTCATGTTTTGTTTATAGGATCTGGGTGCATTTATTTATGCTGGGACAGGGATAGTGGAAGGGAGCAATCCTTACCTGGAGTGGGATGAGCTAGAACTAAAGACATCTCAGGTGTGTTTGGAATGCATCTCAGTGTGGGTGTAAATCCATGTGTGACCTTTTGGTTTAGAGCTCATGCATTCTACAGAAGAATTGTTAAGAGTATATACTTGTGCAACAACTTATATAACATCACTTTTTGTGTCTATCTTTTTTATCACTTCATTTATTAATAATTGAAAGATATAGACACAAGGAGTGATCTTGTACAAATTGTTATACAATTTTAATTTTACATGTATCATTATTCAATTGTTAATGAGTAGTTAGTTGACATGATTTTTGTGCACCATTAATCTACAAAGATTCATTGTCTTGATGGATGTTGATGTCTTGTAGTTCACCAAGTTGCTGAAACTTGACTTGCCTCAGAGACAAAAAGTAGACTGTAAATGAGTTTCATCAAGGCATCAACTGATACGTTTAGCACTTAGCATTGTTAAAGACTGACAATTTACGCTGATGAAGTTCTTTAATAGCATGTGTTAGAGATTGGTGATTGATGGTTTTTGTATATCAACTGTTGCATTGAACTTAATTATAAAATTCATAGAGTGGATAGTTTGTTTCAAATCTCAAAAGCAGCCTTCTGTTTTTATCAACTGACATATTGCTTTTACTAACCAAACAATGTGAGACATTAATATATGTTAAAAATAAATTTAAATACAATTATTGTTGAACTTATTTTATGGAAATAATGAATATTTTGTTGTTTTTGGAGAGAACTCTTGAAAAGCATACAATTACTTCCTCTAAATATTGCACACATTCACGTAGTCAAGTTTTGATTGTATCCATTGGGACAACCCCTAAATTGATCATGTTTCATTCTAATGAACAAGTAGATATGTACTATCCAGTTTAAACTAATTTTCTATTCAAGTATGAAGAATAATATAATTTTTCCTAAATTTAAATTGGTAATTCGATTGCTAATTCTTCTTTTGGTCTTGCTGTTTTGCAACAGTATGGTATTTCACTATTTCCTTCCTTTAGATATCGTCAATTCCTCGTGTCAGTGTGGCATCTTTTGGCTTAATAACTATGGCAATTCTGAAGATCTGGACAAAAGCAATTAGAATGAACAAATAAGTTATATAATGGTTTAATTCGTTGGTTCATTCGAGAAGATTCAATAAAACTAATAAATTTGTATATGGATTAAGAAGCCAAGTTAGCAATTTTTTTCCCCAATACCTGTATTATGTATTAGGGATTTTACTCTTAAGGAAGATCAAAAGCATCATTTTGTAAGAATTTAATTCGTCACATCATCAAAATGAAACTACTTTGCCAATACTGTGTTTGCAAGGAAGTTTGTTTAGTAGGGTTAAATCAAGGTGTTTGCAAGTAATTGGTGTATTAATTCAACTATTTATCTTTAATCCTGAAAAATCACCCACCGATGTAGCATTTTGTTTGATTAATTAAAAGGTATCAATAGACATATATTTGTCCAATTTTTATTTTTAATTTTTATAATTAAAAGGATATAACCTCCTCTCATAAAGTTGCTTCATTTTAAAAATAGTTACACGTATAAGGAGGCAACCGAATCCCAATTAGGCTATTATGGGGGAAAAACTCCAGAATGTTGGCGTTGGAATTGGGAAAAGGGAACTGAAGAATAATTGGAGGGTATATTTGAAAAAATGAAATACAAAAAACATTAAAGGGGTGTGTTAGTAAAAATAGGAGGTGTAAATAGGATTTGTCTTGGAGTAGCTCTACTCAACTTCGTTCGTTCCAAGTATTTCATAACCAATAAATAGTAATTTTTTTTATGCTTATAACCAATAAATAGTATTCGAGTTAACTTTCAATTAGAAATCTTGTAAATGGCCATGACACTCACTCTAGTCAAGTCACAATATTCTCACATCCATACCTCCTTTGTCGAAGTAGGTATGCAGCACCATGTCCCTTTAGAAGGGTTTCAAAATTATTTGTTCTTAGTCAATTTTCTAATCATTGTCTTAATTTTATTATTTTTTTTTGTGGAAATTCAATGACCATAATTTCATGCCTTTACCGAGACTCTATTGAGGTTGATGCATTCAGATAAATAGTAACCCTTCAACATCGTCAATTTAACAACACACTCATTTCATGCTTGGACGAGACACAAGGTGAGAGAAATAACATTATTTTCATGAAGCATGGTTATCTTTTTCTCAAACTTTACAATATTATGATAAGATAAAAAAAAAAGTGAGAAAATATTAGTTAAGAATGAAGGAGTAGGGTACTCCTTGAAAATTCAAAGACCCCAGTCACCACTTGTAGCTCATTGTAAAGGGGGAAAAAAGCTTTAAGTTCAATGAAGTACACAAGTTTGACTTAAAAAGAGAGAACAAATCATTTGCCTACCTCAACTAGCTTCATGCTTAGCACTCAAGAGACCAAGGGAAAGAATTAGAGTTTGGGAATAGAAAGATAAAGGAGGTAAAATAGAAGGTTTGGAAAGGGGAAAAAATTAGAAAAATATCAACAACCAAATTTCCTCTTGTATCAATTTTTTTTTAAAGGATGTGAAGTTAGATTTCCATGTGTTAGTCTTGGCCAACTAAAATGAGTTGTCCAAAGAAGAAAATCAATTGGTCTATAGTTAATATATTAATTTTTTTTCATCAAATTAAATGCAGAAGATTAACTAAATCTTTGACCAGATATATTGTGTATTAAATTAAATATAGACGAGTCTATTTAATGCAAAATCTGTATTTGATTTTCATTGTTTGAGAAAACTCATCGGACTAGCGACGATTATAGTATCATAAGCAGAATTAGTCTTTGTCCCAATAGATTGAAAATACTAAGACTAAAAATAAAAATCTTGGCTTATAGAGTTCATGAACCTTTGAAAAATTTAGGTTAAATCTTTTGTTTCTCTCAAGCCCAATAATCATCTTGTAGTTACATTGTTCAAAAAAAAATTCTTTTTCCAAGTCCACATAAGCAATGCACGAAATAAAGATGGCAAAACAAATCAATGTACCCCAAATCTCTATTAAGTCCTCTGTTCTCTTTTCCTTCTACAACATATTAATTTTTTTTCAATCAAGCTATCTAATTTTTTTTTTGTAAATGATTCTCAAGTCAGACTTACTTTCATTGAATGTATGAGAGAGATATACAAGTGATACATAGACAATTAAATAACATTAAGAGAAGATTAAGCTAAATTTCTAAAATAGGCTAATTTCTTTGCTATGTTGAATAGGTGACCTAAATTAAGGTAATTACATTGACAATAATTATAATCATAGCATATCTTCGGCAGTGTAAAATTTGCATCAAATTCAAGAACTAGGAAGGCACATGAACATGGAAGTTAATTGAGTATGTGAAGCTAGAAGAAGAGCCTTTGTGAAAACATCTACAAGTTGTTGATTAGATGGGACAAATGTGGTTCAAAGTTCGCCCTTTTGAATTTTATCTCGAACAAAATGACAATGAGTTTCAACATATTTTTTGTTGTTCATAAAAAACTAGATTATTTGCACATGGAGGACAACTTGATTTTCACAAGATAAATGGTAGGATGTGGTGAAATGCATAATTCATGAAGAAGAGTATGTAGTCATGAGAGTTCACTAATAACATTAGCCATAGCTTGATACTCAACTTTGATAGAGGAACAAGAAATTGTTTGTTAGAAAAGATGATTGAATCCAAGAGGGTGTGAATTGGATATTTAAAAAATCTAGTAAAAAACTTTTTTAGTTAAAAAATTTTCTAAGACTTCTAATTGATTCAATTTATGTTAATCATTTGTGAGATGAAGATTGTGACACCATTATACCCCACATACTTATTTAATTAAAAATTATTAATAAAATGAAATTAAAATTAAAAGGTATAATAAAATGCTTAAATATTAGCTTATGGAAAAAAAAAATTCACATCCTTCTAAATGAAACTTTTGAATAAAGTAAGACTAAATAATTGTATAAATTAAAAAAACAAGGTACAAACTTTCTATTTACACAACTTTTAGCAATAAAACATAAATTATCATGTTTACATAACTTCAACTATAGCCAAAATAACTATATCTTTCTACCCCAATGTCACACTAATCAAAGTAAAACCTAATACTAGAGAAGTTTTAAGCCTCTCCTCCATCAAACTCCTCTTCTTATACCTGATCTAAGTCGGCAATTGATAATTAGTCCAAACACAAACATAACAATACACAGAAAGTGAAAACACATCTCATCCATATAAAATACATATAAAGCATAAAAGTATCACAACATACATGCATCATACACATCATATACAAGCACTCACATTCACCCATCATTAACGTCATATATCTCAATTATATCAATTAAATTGGAATTCAGTCTAACAACTCAAACAATCACAATTAATAAACATAAACTCGTACTAATTGAAGAACCTAATTTTACATACATGTGGTACCAAATCTCCTCATCATTCTCAACTCATAATAGTCTAGGAGCCATGGAACGGAACCACCCCTTTTATTATGTTGAAACTGCCCTATCTATGGTGATTCGCGATCCATCCTCAACCAAGAGATGTCTATCAAGATCCTATCAAAGTGTTATAGTTGGTCATGGTTGCCACATATCACCTGCATGAGGTTCCCCACCATAACAACCTCAAGGCATAAGTAGACTTATGAGACCTACCTGAATAGACTTACACTATCCTGCAAACAAATTATGTATGCATAAACTTACCCCCTTCATGCCCAATGTTAAGAACTACGCATTTGTGTTCATTGCCATAAAGGCACACCCAGTGCAATCATAAATCTTACACTTTGTAGAATCAAAGCTTCGCGATCCTAGATTCTCTCAACCCATCCAAACTAACACATCATTTGCTTCTCACCACACAATCGTTACAATAGCTAAATAACATCTAAATAATAACACAAAATCAACAATTTATTCAAATTCATTCAGGTCAAACCCCTGAATCTCATAACCCAAACACTCAAACATTACAATATATCTCAAATTAATTCAGTCAGGGTTCACACACAAAATTACAAGACAATACAATGTTTCAACATTTAGATGCATACATATACGTTTACATAAATTCGATTAGCAACCTAAGAGGCTTAAGGATTGCTTCTCTACCTTTATCCCTCATATACACCTATAGATGTGATAATCTTACTCTCCTTTACCTTAAGTGTTGATTTCACAATTCCCTGTAGCTTCAACCTCTACTTTGCAATCTCTATAGTGACTTCCTCTAGGTTTCCCTCTACAAGTTCTTTGGGGTATCAAAAGATGTGTAATACAACCTAATCCCTTGTTTTTATTTTTAATAAGTCTTTTTGGTTGGCTCAAAGTCCAACCTAAATACTCTCCACTTACAGCCCTCTTATTTTATTTAATAAAACATTTCTTTATATTATATCTTAATTAATCCAAAATTATTATTTATTTATTTATAACAAATAGGATGTTGCAAAGATGCTGAATTTGGACTATGCAAAATGCTTATGCAATACCCCATATGATAAGCCTTCAATTGTATCAAACATATATATGATCAAATTATAGGAATAAAAATCAAGAATATTCTA